AAAAAAAGTTAATGAAATACATTCATAGGTAATGAAATCATTAATAATGGATTTTGTACGTTATGAAGTTAATATGCATGCAAGAATTTGAAGGTGAAAGTGTTTCATTGCAAAAAAATTACAACGAAATAATTTCATTATAATGAAACGTTTTCTTTTTCAAAGTAATTCGAGATTAATGCACTACTTTCATCGTGCAACGGGTTTTGTTCTATTTGAATGGTCATGAAACGGGTGCATATTGGGTTTTGTTCTATTTGAAAATATATGTATCATGGAATAATTAACGTGAAATAATTTCATGTAAAAATATGTAATCAAAAAATTCATGTAAAAAAGTTAATGAAATATATAATGAAATAGATTCATAGGTAATGAAATAATTCATAATGGAAATTGTTCGATATGAAGTTAATCTGCATGTAAGAATTTTCTTACGTGAAAATGTTTCATTGCAAAATAGTTAAAGAAACGCATTCTTGATAATGAAACGTTTTCATTTTCTAAATAATTCGATATTAATGTATCACTTTAATTGTGATCCATGTTGCATTRTATCTGAAGTTGATCCGTTCAGTTGTTAGAATGGTCATGAAACGGGTGCGTAATGAGTTTTGTTCTACACGAACCATGCAAACCATGAAACGGGTACATAGTATTTGTTATTGTACATGAAATTAATGTGCATTAAAATATGACAATTTCATGTTGAATTAGTGAAAAATGATACGTTTTCATATGAATTTAAAGTGCATTAAAATACAAATTAATGTGCATTAATGATACGTTTTCATATGTTTACCATTCTACCCTTATTGATTAAATAAACTGAATTTTTTTTTTTTTTTAATTTCCATAAATAAAGCCTACAAATCTTGACCATTGATCAAGTAAATGGATGGTTGAGATTGATTTACAAGGTTTACACAAATGGAGAGAGTTTTCATTTGAACGCTCCTCTCTATATATATATATTAACCGGCCCCATTTGTGTAAACCGTGTAAACCAATCTCATCCATCCATTTTCTTGATCAATGAGCAAGATTAGTTTACTTTATTTTAGGAAATTAAAAAAATATATATATTAAAAATTTATTTTATTTCAAGAATTAGGGCATAAATGGTAAACAAAATTTAATATTTGGTAACATCCTACTCGATTTTTCATGAATCTTTTTTCATGTAAAATTATTTTCTTCCAAAATTAGTTTACTTTCATGAATCTTTTTTCATGCAAAATTATTTTCTTCTTTTCGCTCTTGGTTTGATGCATTAATTCATTTAAGCTTTACAATCTTAAAGATTCTAAATCATATTACAATCTTCAAGATTCTGGAGCAGTTTCTTCATGTACTTGTTTCATCATGCAATTATTTCATGATTAATCAAATACATTATGCAACCGTTTCATTAGTCATGCTCAATAACGCCATGAACTAGTTTCACTTTCATGAAACATATTTCATGTACAATAATTTTCTTATTTCACCATTGATTTGATGGATTCATTTCTTTAAGCCTTACAATCTTCAAGATTCTGGAGCAGGTTACAATTTTCAAGATTCTGTAATAGATTAAAATCATTTCCTCGTTTCATCATGCACTTAGTTCATGACGCACCAAATACAAAATGCATTGGTTTCATTTTCCTCTTCGCCAACTAAATGGATCAACTACACAATCAATGCAACGGGTTCACCATGAAAATGTTTCGGTTCACATAATTTATTTGCAACATGAACCAGTTTCACGTTCATTAAACCTGTTTCATTTGTGGATTTTTTTTTTGTTCATCTACGATTTGATGATTTTATTATACACTTCAATTGTTTCATCAAGACCCGTTTGCTGATTCTTAAAGATTACTATATATGAAATTCAAAATTTTAATATTATAATATAATTAAATATTTAAATGTTACCATTTATACAATTTTTTTATTACTTTTTACTTGATTAAGACTGAAATACCCTTATTGATTAATTTTAATTAGAAAAAAATTGAATTTTCCTATTGGTCGAAAATGGTTTACACGGTTTCTTAGAAATGTACGGTTTTCATTTGAACTTGTCCCTGTATATATATATATAGGTGGAGGTTCAAACGAGAACCCCTGTG